ACCTTTTTAACCATCCTGTCTGTATGTGACGCAAACTTTAAAGAATTATTTACCTGCACCTAGGTCCCTCTGTTTTACGTCTCTACCAAAGGCCCTAGCATTAATTGTATAAGCCGTACCCTTGTTTGTTGTCCCAAAATGCAATACCTTGTATTTATCCAGATTGAACTCCACCTGTCATTTTTCAGCCCATTGTCCCATTTGATCAAAATCTGTTTGTAATCTTAGGAAACCTTCTTCACTGTTTAGAATGCCACCAATTTTGTTTGCCTTTATCAGTCAAGGCATACATTATAACAGCAGGGAGGGCATGGTGGAGCTGTTTGAAACTTTGGTTAGGCCACAGCTGGTCACTACACAATATAAAGGAAGTGAGGAACGGAGTGACTGCATTAGAGGGGGTACAGAGGCGATTCACGAGGATGTTGTGGAATGGAGCATTTTGTCTATAAGGAGAGGCAAAATCAGCTTGAGTTGTTTCCTTTGAAGCAGAGAAGCTTGAGGGGGAGATCTGAGTGAGGGACATGGACAGGGTGGATAGAAAGCAGCTGATCCCCTTATTTGAAGGTCAATAACAAGGGGCATAATTTTGCAGTGAAGACAGGAGATGTGGGGAAATCTTTGGGAAAATGGTTTTACCAAGCAAGTGCTGGTGTCTGGGGTACACAGCCTGGGAGGATAGTTGAAGCAGGAAGCCTCACGAACTTTAAAAAATATTTGGACGATCACTTGAAGTGTTGTAACATTCAACAGTCAGACTCATACAGCGTGGAAAATAGAGTCTTCAGCCCAACTCGTCCATGCTGACCAGGTTTCCTAAATTGAACGAGTCCCATTTGCCTGCGCTTGGCCCATTTCCCTCTCACCCTTTCCTATTCATGTACTATGTCCAACTGTTTTTAACAACAGGCACACTGTGGGAAAGTGAGACTGGTGTAGATAGTAACATATGTTTGGCTGTACAGGCTTGAAGGGTCAAAGGACCTCTTCTCTACTATATGATTCTATGAATGGATCCTAAAGACATGAATTCAGATAATTTGATAAGAGAACCCAACAATGTCCTTATTGCTGCTTCAAAGTGTTTCGATATTCTAAGCAACAAATTTTAAGAAGCACCAGTAAGCTTCTTTCAACTTCCCACTTGATTCAGCAAGTGCTCGCGCTTCATGTTACATCTCGCATGTTTGTCTAAAGTTCATTTGCAAACTGTGAATTCTAATGAGCTACTTTTTGTCTGGTTCATCTTCTCAATCTATAACTTGTTTACATGCAGGAATTTAATATGTGAGCATATCTACCAAATCTGAGGGTTATTTTTGGAGCAGAAACTGAAGGGATCTCTGTTCCCATTATGGGAAATAATTTGTTCATGAGATGTGGTCTCCATTGGCTGGGCCAGCAGAGAGCAATTAAGAGTCAACTACATTGTTGTGGGTTTGGAATCACGTGGAGCACAGACAATATAAGGACCCCTAAAGGACATCAGTGATGTTCACCCCTAATTCAACATGCAGTTCTTCTCTGCTTCCTTTCCTCTCGGGAGGTAATAAACACCCAGCACTCCTTCCCCAACAACACACAGGTTTATTATAGATATGTCATATAGAAATGCATACTGTCAAGAGATATGGAGCATGGGTTCATAACTGGGTTTGAGGTACACATCATCTATTATCTAATCAAGTGGCAGAACAGGCTCAATGAGAACGAATGGCCTCCTCCTGTTCTGACCCTCTTCTTTTACCAATGTTGTTCCCCATGTACTATTTCGTCAAATGCCTTTTGAACTCCAGGTCCAATATAGTATATGACTTTTCTCTCTGCTGCTCCAACTCCATTTCTCCCACTGCTGAGGTTAGCCAGTCTGCAGTTGGTAGTTTGGAGTCTTTGTCACTCTTTCACAACTTGAGAGGACACATTTGATCAGTGCCAATCCATTGAATCCTTTTCTGAACTTCACAAACTCACTGAAAAAAACACATACCCTCTCACCAATCCACTCTCTTGCTTCTTAAAATACCCTGACCTAAAGTTCATTTACACAGAATTTGCAGCATGGAAACAGGTCATTCAACCCAACAGCTCTTGGGTAATGTAGGTGCCTTCCAATCTCCTCCCAATCAACTTCATCTCATTCCAGCAGTATATCCTTGTATGTAGTCCTTTCTCCTTCACATAGGAGCAGACATGATGGGCCAACTGGCCTCTTTCTGCACCATAATAATTCTGAAGGACTGTGACATATTTATCTAGCTTCCTCTGATCTGCCTTGACTGTCCAAGGGAATACATTTTTTTTCACTCCCTTCAGCCCATCTCTGCCTCACTAATATCAAAATCCTGGGAAAATTAATAACATACTTTGGATGCTGGATAGTACATTGTAACCATTCTCCCAGACTAGAAATCAATTTTTCAAATACTTGTTATCTAACATCTTGTTTAACTACATGTTATTTTCCAAAGGCTTTAACTTCCTTCCTGGCGATCTTTCGATATGTAGAAATGGAAAGATATTTCTTTGTTGGCCTTGCGTTTTGCATCTGCTGCAGTGTCCTTTTCTAATTCTGTTTCAATGTTTTGTTTTTGAACTGTTTCCATCTCGCATGACACACTAACCAATCACTATCCTCTCCGTTTTACTGACAAGTTCATTTTTTTTGGTTCCCCTCACCCTGATTCCCTCTTAAACTTCCTGTTGATCCAATTAGGATCATTTTTACTTATCAAATTAGACTAAATTTCGTAGCACAATGACCACTATCGTCTATCAGTTCAGCTACTTTTACTCCTGAAATAAGGTCACTCACGAGAACAGAGAGGCTCTCTAAATGTAACGAGCTGGGAACTGTGCCCACACACATAATCAGAGTTTGTCACAACTGTTCACTCTTTCTGTCGGGACAGCTGTTCAACTCCACATTGTCAGCTTTCATTTTGTGATATCTTTTTTTAATAACAGCATAAAGGGAAGAGTTATTTTGCTTATTTTAAGTTGCAAGTCTATGCTTCTCTTAACCCTTTCTGAACAGATCGACTGAATCAAATGAAAAGTTCCCCAAGGAGTAAATTCAACTACCTTAAATCCATAAATGTCATCAAAATATACCTCCCCATGTTTGCTTTTAGTATCTTTCCCCATATTGTCCTGAGTTAACTATCGCTTCAGTTTCACAGCATCATTATTTTCAGTTGCCAACTGTTCTATTGCTTAATTTCATGTTTGTCAAACAAATTTTAGGTTATATCCCTCAATGTCTTCATGCGGATTTCTGGTCATGGAGTCATAGAGTCATACAGCATGGAAACAGACCTTTCCATCCAAATAGTCCATGCTGACCCTGTTCCCAAACTAAACCAGTTCCACTTGCCTGCGTTTGGCCTATATCCCTCCAAACCTTTCCTATTCACGTACTTATCCAAAAGTCCTTCAAACATTGTAACTGTATTTGCATCCAGCACTTCCTCTGGAATTCCTTTCCAAACATTAACCATTCTTTGTGTAAAAAAGTTGCCCGTCATTTCTTTTTTAAATCTTTCTCCTCTCACCTTAACCTACAACCCCTCGTTTTGAATTCCCCAACCCAAGGGAAAAGACTTACTATTCATCTTATCTACGCCCCTCATGATTTTATAAACCTCTATAAGGTCACCCTTCAACCTCCCACACTTCAATGAAAAAAGTCCTAGCCTTTCCAGCCTATCTTTATAGCTCAAACCTGTCAATCCCTGCAGCATCCTGGTAAATCTTTTCTAAACTTTCTCCAATTTCATAAAATCCTTCCAATAGCAGGGCAGCCAGAACTGTAAACAGTACTCCAGAAGAGGCCTCACCAATGTCCTGTATAACCTCAACATGACATCACAACTTCTACATTCAAAGGACTGAGCAATGAAGGTAAGCATGCTAAATGCCTTTTTAACCATCCTGTCCACCTGTGACGGAAATTTCAAAGAATTATGTACCTAAACCCTTTGGTCCCTCTGTTCTACACCATTACCCAGGACCCTACCATTAATGGTATAACTCCTGCCCTTGTTTGTTTTACTAAAATGCAATACCTCACACTTATCCAAACTAAACTCCATCTGCCACTCCTCAGCCCATTGATCCAACTGATTAAGATCTCTTTGTAATCTAGATAACCTTCTTCACTGTCCACTATGCCACCAATTTGGGTGTCATCCACAAACTTACTAACCATGTGTCGTGAATTCTAATCCAAATCATTCAGATAAATGACAAATGAAAATGGACCAAGTACCAATACCAGTGAAACACCACTGGTCACAGGCCTCCAGTCTAAAAAACAACCCTCCACCACTGCCCTCTGTCTCCTACCGTCAAACCAATTTTGTATCCAATTGGCAAACTCTCCCTGAATCCCATGTGATCTAACTTAACTAATTAGTCTGTCATATAGAACCTTGTCAAAGGCTTGACTAAAGTCCATGTACACAATGTCTACCGTACTGCCCTCAGCAATCTTTTTGGTTCCTTCCTCAAAAGACTCAATAAAGTTTGTGAGACATGATTTCCCTCGCACAGATATTCATGCCCATCATCATCTGTAAATGTAATGTCAAATGTAAAACAGGAGATGCAACCGAACTAGTTGCATATCTGTAAGGTAGTAAGTTATGCTGGAAGTGGCCAAAATTCATTTCAGAAAATATCCGACCTTAAAAGCAATCTTGTTCTGGTCTGTGGTGTGAAGACAACTTGCAATCCACTGTTGCTGAGGAATGCACCAGAAAATAAAACACAACACAGAAACAAAAACAGAGCGCAGAAAGCGAATGCACCTCTTAGCTTCTTGCCCCAAACTCATCGCATTTCCAATTTGGATGCTTTAAGCAGCGATTAATAGCTTTATTACTTGTTCCTCCTTTACAAACATTAACAGAGCGGTGTTATAATGAAAGACTCATGTTTAATTTGTAAGCCAAGTGTGAACCACTGCAAAATGTCAAGTTGGTGTCAGTTTCCTTACTTACGTCGACATTCTTTGCAGCATTTGCCTACTCTGTACACTGGCCGAAAATCTGGTGGGCAGTTTAAAGGGGGACACGTGACGTGTCTGCATTCAATGGTTCCATTCTAAATGAGAGAGAAAAGACAATGATCAGGAATCAGCTTTTGCTTCTTAAGGGTTCATGCCAGTTTATCTAATGATCAACTGAATATAACAGATCCAACAGACTCAAAGTTTTTACAATTTTTTTTCCCCTGGAGTGACTGATCAATGATGGAGAAGTATTGTAAACTCTGCAATTAACCCCTTGAAAGTTAAGCTTGGGTCCCTATTCCTGATCTATCCAACAATGCAGGCTGTCAAACCATAGCAGGATATTGTGGATAAATAGATTCAAAGTGATGTTAATATTTCTTTCCTTTGGCCACTCCCATTCCCCCAAAATGGTCAGGTGGTTTGCTGAACTCTCCCCAGTCAGATACAGACGTTAATGACGGTCACTGAAGAAAGGCACACATTTAAATGATTCCAGTCAGACATCTGCACCTTTGCAAAAAGGTTGAAAAAGAAGGGGAGAAATACGGCAGAAAATTTGCAAAGGGAAAACAAAATGGATATGGTCAGCTATCCCACCTCTGGAAACCATATCAGGTCTGATGCTGTTCAAGCACTAACTCCATAATCACATTCAAGGCATTTTGGGCAAAACATGTGGCTTGGTTAAATAAGTTTGCAAAAGCTATTGAAATGTTTACAATTTCTATAAAAATTTATAGCTTACACAGATTTTGTATATAGTTGCTTAGGGCATGATGTTTGCTCTCTAGTATTCAATGCTTGCAGTTAGTGACACTGAGTTACATATAAGAACAGACTTAAATATTACTTACATGTAGAACCTTTGATTGTGTGCTTTACGTGCAGCAAATGGATATCAACATTTTTTCTCCAGTATTTTTTTTCTCATTCAGTTTCTGTAGTTTTGGCAGAGTTGCATATTTTATACATTTTCACGACACTCTGATTGGATTGGGCACAACACACCACAGATTCCAAACAAACAAACTGGTAGCTTCAGATGCCAGGAGGCAAGGAGAAAGATCAAGAACTTCCCTCGGCATGAGATTAGATACCAGTTTTCTTGACATATATCATGTTGATATGAAACGAGAGGGGGATGTCAAAGGAAAAATACTGGTGAAGGGGGAAAGATGGGTTTCTGTGCTGCATTCACTGCAAACTTCTGCACTGTCCCAGTGACGGTCACATTCCACATCTGGATCATGGGATCTCCACCACCAAACAGCAGGCTGTTGGTTAAATGTCAGATTGACCTGTGGAAGTGCAGGGTTGTGGAGGACTTGAGTAGAGTATGGGGCTTGAGTACAGTATCATTTCATCACCAGAGGAGATCAGTGCAGTGCTGTGCCTAATGAAAGCGCTGCCAGAAGGCAAGGGATCCAGAGAAAAGAAATTAAACAGCATCAGCATATGAAAAGAATTGGAACCAGGGTAAAGCACAGTGCTCAATCTATACACACCGAGCACACAGCAGCAACTTAACCACTACTAATCATTTATTCAGCTTTAATGTTTCAGGATCAGGGAATCACATTCCTGCTATTCTGATGGATCTATACACTGGAAATGAATGCTCAATCAATTAGTCTCGTGGTCCATGTCCCAATGGCAGAATCTGAACCAACATTTTATTAACCGTACATAAGGAATATAAACAACATCTACTTTCTTTCCAAAGGTGATAGCAAAAATAGAAACTGCAGGGACCTTTGTCATTAGAGGACTGAGTGAAGTTATCGCTGATAACAGCTCATTACTGCCTTCTCAAGGGCACTTAGAGATGGGCAATAAGGGCTGACCCAGCCAGCAATACCCACATTGTCTGAATGAATAAAGAAACTTCTATTTATTTATACATCTGATCCAAATCTATTACCGTCTGCTAGTTCTCTGCACATCAGTAACCACCGTCAGTGATGCCAGTGGACTGGTGCAGCATGGGCCTGACTATCCGGTGTCAATTTCTCAGATTGACACTTGTTACTCAACACAGAACTGAACTGTGATGGAGCAGCTTCAGAGTAGGTAATACGATGGCCAATAGGCCAGTATTTCCTAACCACATTATTGACTTAGCTTCTACAGGAGAATAGAGCACTTTTATTTCTATTACAAAACCTGCCATTGCATGTTTCATCATTGGATATTGTTCAGACAGGAGTGAGACTCAGACTGATTCATTTCTGGCTCCTCATTTTCCTTTCCTCATTCTTTCATGAATGTGGGCATCATTGGCAAACATGGTATTTGTTACCCATCCTTAACTGCCCTTGAACTGAGTGACTTGTCAGGCCATTTCAGAGGACACTTAATAGTCAACCACATTGCTGTGGGTCTGGAGTCACATGTAGGCCAGACCAGGTAAGGATGGCAATTTCCTTTTGCGAAGGGCATGAGTGAACCAGATGGGTTTTTACAACAATCGAGGATAATTGTCATGGTCATCATTACTGAGGTTATATTCCAGATAAGAGCAGGGGGTGGGAGTAGTGTAATTGTAAGGTCACTGGTCTAATAATCCTGAATCCCAGACAAATTTTCTGAGGGCATGAGTTCAAATCCCACCCTGGAGATTTTTCAATCTAATATAAAGCTGTCCAAATGGTAACCATGTACTATAGCAGCCAGCAGCTGTTTCAACCCCCTGCCCATTTCTGGGAGTGTAGTGAATCCTCCGTTAAAATAACCTATCATTTCTACTGCTATCGAGGGAATCCAGGGTCATTAGGGGCAAAAATGTGGAGTTGAGGGTCATCAGATCAGCAATGATCTCACTGAATGACACAGCAGACTCGATGGGCTGAATGGTCTACTTCTGCTCCAATGTCTTATGGAGACAGGAAGTTAGCTCCCTGGAGCATGTGCCTCTGGAAAACTGCACTGTGGTAAATGTGCCTCCCTTCCCCAAAGCTGCATTCTGTTAAGATCCCTTTCGCCCCCTGTGAGGAGAATTGAAGAGGAAAAGCAATGAAGACCGCACGCACTTTCAGCCATGCTGAGCTGCAGACACACCTTGCAGGTGCAGTTTTTGCACTTTTCAACCCATGATTCCATGCTGCGGTACACCTCCCTGTTCACCTGACATGTCTTCTCACAGTAACAGCTCTCCAGCTCACTCAGCCTGGCTTCCGCGTAGTTTAACTGTAATGAGAGAGGTTAGCAGTGAGGTCAAATATACACTCCATAGAGTCCACAGCTCAGAATCAGCCATTGAGGTGTTCTGAAGAAGAGTCATATCAGACTCAAAAACATTGACTCTGTTTCCCTTTCCGCTATTAACTCGGGCGAGTTTAGAAGTATGAGAGGTGTTCTAATTGAGATACGTAAGATTCCAAGATGGATTGATGAAGTAGACATAGAGTGGATGTTACTCCCTGTGGGGCAATCTAGAATGAGATAAATGGATGGCAGCTCTAAAACAGAGATGAGGAGGAGCTACTTCTCTCAAAGGGTCATGAATCTGTAGAATTCACTCCCCCAGAGTGTGATGGATGCTGGGACATTGAGTAAATTCGAGGAGCAAACAGACATATTTCTAATTAGCATTACGTTAAAGGCTTATGGGGCGTGGGAAGGAAAATGGAGTTGAGGCTGAGATGAGACCATTCATAATTGTATCAGATAACAGAGCATGCTTGAGGGGCTGAATGGCCTACTCCTGCTCCTAGTTCTTCACAGATGCTGCCATACCTGCTGAGATTCCTTTCTGTTTTTATTTGATTTCCAGCATCTGCATTATTTCAATTTGAATTGAGCCCTGCTTGTTCCTGGCACACCCAAACAACCCTCTCCTTTCTTCCTCGTGTGATGTACGAATGTCCTCAACAACCAATGAGGCCCACACTGATAACAGAAAAGGAAGGAGACTCTAAAATATTTTCAATTACTGAGATTACAGGTGGTCAACAATGGAGCTCCCCAACCTTTGCCCATAAATACCACTGGGTTACAAAAATCTATTAACTTCAGATGCAAAGATTTACCAGTCATCTAGCATCAGTTTTCATCGCGGGAGCGGCTTCAAACAGCAATCTCTCTGACAGCAGAGGCGTTTTGAGGGCTGGGATCTTCCTGTGTCAGTTGGGGGAATTGGGATTTTGATAACTGATCAGAGATGTGACAGGAATTTGTTGTTAGTCCCTTGGCAGAGGAGAGGCCCAATGAAACAGAGTGCCCATTAGCCCCCACGCCACCACCACTGAGATCACTTGAGATCCTAATGGGGTCCCATGGGTGGGGATCAAAAGCAAGAGCAGGAGACCAGCTTGCAATGATCACCCAATTCCCGATGCTGGATCCTCAACCGGGCACAGAGTACCTGACTATGAAGGAGCATCCTGGAGATGGCGGGATAGCCTGGCAGGTCTTGCTGAGCAGACATCACAGGGCATGGCAATGAGTTATAGGATGGATATTATTAAGCTGGAGACGGTTCACAAAAGATTTATCAGGATGTTGCCAGGTATGGAAGATTTGAATTATAAAGAAAGGCTGGAACTTTTTTTTACTGGATTGTAGGAGGTTGATAGATGACCTTGTAGAAGTTTATAAAATAATGAGGATTATACATAGAGTTAAAGGTAACTGTCTTTTCCCTAGGATGGAGGATTTAAAGATGGTGGGGGGGCACATGTCCAAGGTGAGAGGAGAGAGATTTCAAAAAGTTATGAGGGGCAATATTTTTACACAGAGGATGGTTCGTGTGTGGAATGAACTTCCTGAGGAAATGGTGGATGCGGGTACAGTTACAACATGTAAAAACCATTTAGATAAGTACATGAATAGGAAAGGTTTGAAGGGGATATGAGCCAGGAGCAGATAGTGGGACTAGTTTAGATTGGGATAATGTTTGGCATGGACTGGTTGGACCGAAGGGTCTGTTTCCATGCTGTATGACGCTATGACTGCATGGCCCCTGTTGTTCCCACAAGACACTAATAAATGATTGCAAACACAATGACAATGGATGACAATGCGCTCATCAAGGAGCTTAATTACCAATCCGACAGTGGGAGCACAGCCCCTTGCTCCCTCAGGGGGCAGGAGTGGTCTGCAACACCTTAAGATTGACATGGGGCCTCTCCCAGGGTGAAGTGGAATCAATCGTCAGAAATAGAATCCAGTCCCTGAGTTCCTTCCTGAAGGATCTGAATCTAATTTTTTAGATAATGTCCCTAAGTACTAGACTCCCCAGCCAGTGGAAATAAATTCTAGTTAGCCTATCTATTATAGACTCTCTACAGCTTGTAAGCAGGCCATTCGGCCCAACGAGTCCACACTGACTCTCCAAAAGATCATCCCACGCAGATTCACACCCCTACCCTATCCCTGTAACTCTGTATTTCCCATGGCTAATACACCCAGCCTACATATCCCTAGACACTACAGGCAATTTAGCATGGCCAATCCACCTAACCTGCACAAAGTTGAACTGTGGGAGGAAACTGGAGCACCTGGAAGAAACCCACACAGACACAGGGAGAATGTGTAATCCAGACAGACAGTCGCCTGAGGCTGGAATTGAACCTGGGCCCTTGGTGCTGTGAGGCAGCAGAGTTAATCACTGAGCCACAATGCTGCCCCTTTCATAACTTAAAAACTTCAATCAGATTGTGTCTTAAGATTCTAAATTCCACAGCATGCTCTGTCAGTGTGTTCAATTTCACTTGCAATGTAATCCTAACAAGTCCAGGTATGAATCTAGTACCTCCCGCACTGCACTTCTTCCAGATACAAGTCACAGCCCAATTGAACTAGAGCTCAGTAATTAAACAGGATGACTCACTTAGACTCATTTAGCCTGCAAAGACTGACAGATGAGGGCTTCACATGCATGTCCTCCTTCCATTATTGTTACATGGAATGGTATTGAAATAATTTGGGAGGAATCAAACAGAAATTAGTGCCAACAGGCAGCCAAATTGGAGAGGTGGGTGGGGGGAAATGGCATTTGGTGGAGGGAGGTGGATGGTGATGAAAATGAGAAGCACATCCAGGAAATCCTCAATAACTGTGTTTTTCACCACAGCATTACGACTAAGATGGGAGGGATGCACAATCATCTATCCCTTTGCTCCATGTGTTGCAACATTAAATTAAAAGTTTACCCAAGTCCCAACATAGGCAATTATATGTCTTCTCTAAATTAGATTTAAAAGATCAAACAGGTTTCTTCAACAAACAAAACGTTTGTAATAAACAATAACTACTCAATTAAGATGTAGAATTACGTAGTGCACACAATTTGTTACATGGAAATATAAATGTTTTCCTCTGAAGTTAATTTAAAACAACAGGATTCACTCTGCAGAGATTCATTGAATAGACATTTCTTAGCCAAGCGTAGGTATTCTTAAAGACAAGATAAGATATGGAGGCATCAAATGCTTTGGAGGCTGTTAATGTAGTGTGACTACACATGCAGTCAAATCACTGATTGCATTGTTGTCTCTGGTATCTTTGTGGACACAGCTTGCTCAGCAAACACAATATCAACAAGTTCTTTCAATCACTCTTCCAGAGGTTCAATCAGGTCTTACATTTGTAATGCCTGTTTTTTTAAAATATTATTTTTGATTATGTAAGGAATTGCTGCACTTCTAAAACATTTGACATTGAAACTCATTATAAGTTGTGTTTACACTGCTGCTTTGTTCAAATAGTGGGGGAGGATCTTTGCAGAAAGGCTGCCATAGGAGGTACATCTAAAGTGAGATTTGCCCTCCATCTTAAGGTAGTGGGGATGTTTGCTGATGATTGCATAAATGTTCAGCACCGTTTGCAATGAAATAACTCCACAGAGGCTGCTATCCTGTCACTAAGTCACCCTTTATTTACACGTGGAAAGTCCTTCTCACTGGTCCAACTCCACCAGAGCCAGCTCTCAGAGTTTCAGAATGTCTGGCACTCCACTTTTTATCTGTCAGCCACAGCTCCCTGATTGGACCAGGTTAACAGCCCCAGTCAGGGAATCCATATTCTGTGAGGTTCCCCTGGCTGACCTTGTTACATTTATTACAAGCTGCTGATTGATTTTTGGAGTTGTGACCAGTTGAGGATGACAAAGGCCACCAGCCTGACAGGGGAAAACATGTGTTGTAGGCATCACAACTGATCTACTTGGGCTACAAAGTTGATAAGACTGGGTTACATGCATTGAAAGATAAAGTGAGGGCTCTTTTGATTGTCCTCACTTTGCCGATCATATTTGGAATCAGGAAGTTCCACCAATACATTTATGGACATATATTCATTAAAATAACAGACCAAAAACCCTTACTAGATCTACTTACACAGGACAAGGCAGTGCTGCCATAGCTCCAAGCCAAACTCAGCAGTGGTATAATTATATAAGGTATAATTATATAATTTTTAGGAGTTGATGCAAAGTTGCCAGGATGGGTGCCACATTATGCATGAACTTTCTATAATAATTCACCAGCCCCAGGATAGACCTAAGCTCCAGTACAGACATGGGGGCTGGGACACCTTTTATCATTTTATCTTACAATGGGTGTTACCTGGTCTTGGCAACTCTGTAGCCCAAGTAGGTCACTTGGAGTGCCTGGCACATGCATTGTTCCCTTCTAAGGCATGCCTGGGAGAAATGCCTAAGGACCACGCCCAAATTCTTTAAGTGTTCCTTATTGGGCTTCCCTGTTATTAGCACATCATTTAGATAAATGGCGACCATGGATAGACCTTGCAAAATGTTCTCCATCGTGCGCTGAAGAATTGTACAGGCTGACAATACCACAAATGACAGTGTTGTATACTGGTACAAACCCTTTTGAGTACTACTTGTAGCATAGGTCTGGGAATCCTCATCTAACTGCAACTGCAAGTACGCATGGCTCATGTCCATCTTCTTGAAGGGCAGCCACCCCAAAACTCTACCCCCACCACCTTTGCATATAAATCCTCTCTGCAAGGGATTAGGTATTTATCAAGCTGCAACGAGTGGTTTCCCATTTGTTTAAAATCCCCACAAAGGCGAATCGTACGACTGTTGATGCCCATTCTGCAAACTGTACTGGGTTTGATAATTTCGTCGCTTTCTATCTTCCTGATTTCTGCCCCTACTTTTGCCCCTAAGGCAAATAGCACTGAGTGTGCCTTGCAGAATCTCGGAATTGCTTCCT